GTTTTGTTTTTGAGACAGGGTTTCCCTGTAGCCCCAGCTGGCCTAGGACTTGCTATGTAGACCAGGCTGACCTCATTTTCACAGATACGCCTGCCTTTGCCTCCTGAGTGCTGGGATTAAAGGTGTGTGCCACCATGCCTGGCTTCCTAGTCTTTTTGTGTGTGTGTATGTTTTTGAGTCAGGGTCTCCCTGTACCTAGTCTAGTTTTAATTGTCTTATTGTTAGTGCCATCACAAGAACATTAAATGTAAACAAGAATGACTTGTGGCTTTTTAGATCAAGACTTTCTTTAAAAACCATAATTGGGGCTAAACCCAGGACTTTGTGCATGCTAGGTAAGTGATCTGCCACCAGCTGACATCCTTAGCCCTACCTAAATCAGAGCGTTTTTTCTTTTTTTTCATGACAACACTTTTTGCTTTAGAAATCTTTATATGACTCTGGGTATTTAGGTATATAAAAAGGTATGCATTTGTTGATAATAAATCTAATGAAATTTATTTATTTTTTTTAAAAAAGAAGGGATTTATAGCCACCTGTCTTTAGAACAGCCTATTATTTAGGTTATAGCCAGCAGTTGTCTCCTTCTGGCTCATGTGCTAGGAATTCATGCTGCATGTGTGGGCGTTGACTCATATATTTTGTGGGTTTATTGAACAATGAAGGTTTTCTTCCCAGAACTTTTTGAGTTTATTATTTTCCTTCTTTCTAGAACTTTTGAAAAAGTTTGCCTTTGGGACTAGAGAGATGGCTTACAAGTTCAAAGTACATATTGCTCTTGTGAGACTCATGTATATTTGGTTCTTAGGACCCACATCAGGTGCTTGCTATTCCAGCTCCAGGTCTGATGCCTTGGGCTTCTGTGACCATCTGCACTCATGTACACACAAACACAAACACACATGCATATACACAATTTCAGGTATATCTTTAGAAACAGTTTACCTCTGTGTGTGTGTGTGCGTGTGCGTGTGCGTGTGTGTGTGTGTGTGTGTGTGTGTGTGTGTGTGTGAAACCTGACAACATAGCTCTGTAGCTTACTTCAAAAGGTCTTTCTCAGATCTTTGGAGATAACATCTAAATTCTAAATGTGGGCTGTAAGGCTCCTTGTGGCTCTGGATCCAGTCCATTTCTCGGGATTCCCTCAGCTCTGCAAACTCCTTTCTTTGCAATGGTGTCTTCCTGGAAGCTCTGTCCTGTTTCTTCCCCCTCCTTCCAGAGGACCACGTATCCTGCTGGTTGCCATAGAACAATGCAGGGGCAAAAGGACCTTTTTCACTCTGTTGAAAAAGCAGCAGAGGGCAGAAGCTGTCTTCAGAGTGCCTGGCTTTCAGCTGGTGCTCAGTGATCACTGAAAGTGAATGAAAGCCAGTCTTGGTATGATGGGATAAGCACAGATTTTTTTACAGATATGCAAAATTTAAAAATAATAAAAAAGGATGGGAATACAGGATAGACTCCAGATTTAACTATCACCAGCTTGGAGAGAGTTGTTTGCTAACAGCCCATCATCTTTCTATCACCAAACCGAGTGGGGTTTTTTTTCGGCTTGGTGATTAACTCATATATTAACAGAACAGACTAATTACATGATATTCTTGATCATTAACCAGAGGTAGATATCCCAGCTAAACTTGAATTCAGATCTTCCATTTCTTAAAAAATATATTTTATTTTAAGCTTTATTCTTTTAAAAAATATTTTATAATTTTGTGTACGAGTGTATTGCCTGTGTGTATGTAACTGCACCTGTGCCATGCAGTTCCCACAGAAGTCAGAAGAGGGCGTTGAATTCCCTAGGACTGGAGCTACTAATAGGTAGCTGCCATGCTCTGTTGAAAAAGCAGCAGAGGGCAGAAGCTGTCTTCAGAGTGCCTGGCTTACAGCTGGTGCTCAGTAGTCACTGAGAGTGAATGAAAGCCAGTCTTGGTTTGACGGGATAAGCAGATTTTTTTACAGATATGCAAAATTTAAAAATAATAAAAAAGGATGGGAATACAGGATAGACTCCAAATTTAACTATCACCAGCTTGGAGAGAGTTGTTTGCTAACAGCCCGTCATCTTTCTATCACCAAACTCAGTGCGGTTTTTTTTTTGGCTTGGTGATTAACTCATATATTAACAGAACAGGCTAATTACATGATATTCTTGATC